GGCTGTGGGTGGAGATCTGCTCCACCGTTAGTTAATTGTCCAGTTTTTAATTTGGAGACATCAGCTAATGTCTGGGCCTAGGGCAATGTGTGGATCATACAAAAGATTGGCTTTGCCCAGAAGTCACTTGGTGCTGTTTGAAAGAGAGGGAGGAGGGGAGTGGCGAAGAGTGTAAAATGTCTGTGTCTTTTGCTAGGAGACCATCAACTAAAAGTTCAGACAGCAGCGAGCCCAGTGAAGCGGGTGATGAGAAGAAGAAAAGGGACTCAAGGAAGAGTGGCTTCCTGAACTTAATCAAATCAAGAGGCTCCAAATCTGAACGTCCCCAGACGGTGTTGGTGGCAGAGGAGCCCTCCTCACCCAAGGTTGCTGCAAAAAGCCCGGCTGTGGACACAAGCAAGAAGGAGGTAAAGCCTGCAGAGCAAAACGGTGGTACGGAGCGATCCGAGGAATTAAAGACGCCAGACTCTTTGGAGGAGGTGCCGCCGGATGACGCGGCAAAAGCGGAGAGGGGTGACAGCAAAGGCAGCCCACAAGGAGGCCGGAGGTACGGCGTGCAGGTGATGGGCAGCGGGCTTCTCGCAGAAATGAAGGCCAAGCAGGAGAAGAGAGCAGCCTCTGCTCAGAAGGTGAAGGCGGTTTGATTTCTCTTGAGTTGCTGAAAAAAACGAGCAAGCGCTTGTGTGTCTTCAAGGGAGGTGGGCTTGGGTCTGCGAGGGTTGGGGGCTGGGGCTTGATGCATCCTGCTTTCCACCGGTGTGTTCCTGCGAGAGGAGTCCTCTCTGCTGTGGTGTGGCTGAACACAAATACCCTGGCCAAGGACTGGGCTGCGCCTGTGAAGCAGGAGAGGCACCCGTAAGCCTGCGCTTTCTCTCCTCTTGTGGAGGAGGCGACACCAGCTCTTGCGCTTGATGTCGGGCCGTCGCGAGCACCAAAGAGGACACTCAGTTGTTTGCTTGTATTACAGAGTAACTGGGGGGGCACTGGTAAGCACAGCTTGGATGTCTCCACTCCACGTGGTGTGTGGTTTGTTCCCGTGTAACGGCAGCGTGCGTTACAGGAGGTAAAGCTGGGACAGACTGCCTGCCGTGTGCCCCCTGCACCCCCGTACCTTGGTGTTTGGCAGGGTTAGCTACAGAGGTGGCTCTCTGTGCTCTTCTCTTTTGGAAGGTGATGTAGAAAGGTGGAGAGATGTACTGCATTTTAAATTATGTATTCCACGCAGAGACGTAAGTCTGGCTTCCAGACGCTGTTTACAACTATTCAACTTATACTTCTCTTGTGCACTTTTTAATCCTTGTGACCTTTCAGACCGCACCTGATTATTTTTATGCCTTTGATTTCTATATTTCAAATACTAACACTCAAAGAAAATAAGCATACTTTAAAAAAACCAATCTATTCCCAATTATCTGTCCGGATTCCCTTTGCTCTCTCTAATTTTCTCCTCTCTGAAGTGCTGATGCAGGACAGCAACGCTGCTTCGCTTCGCAAACAGGCGGAGTGGAATATCTTTGCGTTGCTCCAGAACGTTTTGTGCCGACCTGTTTTGCCCGATGCCCATTTCCCACTGAACTTCCCCATGATCATCCCCCTCCCAGTTGCAGTTGGCATGTTCTAAAATTACCAAAGGATCAGCCTTTTTTTTTTTGCTGCTCTCTCCTTCTTCAGCGTGCGGGGTGCTCGGATGCTATCCATTCCCCACCGTTATCCCCTGTCCTTTGGAAGGTGTTACCTTACGACACAGCTCGTCTGCAAGCCTTGCTGTCTTTTCCTTCCTTTAACACGTTGTGGAATTGTCTTGCTGTGGCCGAGCAAGGCACCCAAAGTTCAGTTTTACCTTTCCTCATAGTCTTACAGTGCTTGCCATGATGTCTGGAGCATTCC